TGAGCACACACTGTTCTCCTGCCAGATAATCTGGGGAGCAGAAAAAATGGGGAGGAAAGCAGCCACATCACAGTCACAAAAAGAAAATTCTGCTCCTTGTAATGCTGTCCCAAGATCAGTTTTCCTACAATATGGCACAGCCTATTGTCAGGAATACCTTTGGTATCATTGTCTTCAGAGCATATGATATATTCTGAAGATAAGTAAAATGTCTATGGCCTACTTTGCAGCTGGAAAAGCTGGCATCCAGTTATGTTGCACTATTAAAATGCTGCTACTGTATAAAGTTGGTTGTGTTCACTCCTTATACATTTTAGTGTCCTTGTCTATAGTCCCGTGGCCTTGTACCATACAAGAAATGCATTGTTTGCCCCTGATTCGAAGTACCAGGTTCTATTTGCCTTTTTAGGGTTGTAAAGCCAGTTTTATAAGTGGTGCTGCCCCTGACTACAGGCAGATTCAGGGACCTGCTATGCAGAGAACTTGCATACTGAGGATTCTAATTGAGTACTCCAGGGGCACTTTTGCTAAAGCCTGAATATCTTGTATTGTCTATCTGTTAAGGGATTTAAGCCTACTAAATTGCCCTGACAGGTGATTGCTTGAGGCCACAAATCAGAAGGGAGGTATTTCATCCCACTAAAGAATTTTAAGTGATACATCACAGATGTAGTCTGGCTAGAGGAGCTGTCTTGTGTAGGTGAAAGGGAGTATGTCATTGAGGTGCTAATCTGGGTAAAAACTGGCTGAAGTAAGTACCTGTGACAGAGGCAGTGCCTTCTCACTATTCTGCTCTCAGGCACTTGAATCTGTCTCAAAACTAAAACAATCTTTTATGTCCATCTTCAGTTCTTTCTTTCAAATCATAACATAACTCGGTAGAAAAATTTATTGAGATGCATCAGTGCTCATGTGCAGCCATCTGAACTGATGCTGAATGAGCTAATTTTCCTGTTACTGAGTAGACTAGTTGGCAAGCAACAACTTATATAGCTGAAGGAAAGATAAAAACTTACTGTGTGATAACATGACATGGCACATTTTCCCACCTTATCTAAAGGCTACAGATTTTCTTGTTTGTTCTTCCGCTGTGTCTCGCTGATTCCTGGATATTGAGGGGTTTTAAAGGAAGCTGGGATTAGCAACAGTGAATATTGTAGTTAGGGCATTCCATTAAAGAAGAGAGAGTGGGCTCAAGCTGCCTCAGGTTGGGGAGGGCTTTGAGCCACTCTCTGAAGGACTCACTTGAGATGCAACAGCCACTCTCTCTTGCTTCCTCCCAGCAGATGCCTATCTGCAAAAGAGAGTCCTTTGCAATATTTTCTGGTAGTGGTTTCCTCATCAGGAGCATGGAGCCACCTTGTTGGTGACAGAGGAGCAGATCTCTTCTTAAAGCCCTTCACTTCAAAGGTTCTTGTTTCTCTCCATTTTCTGTACAGAGCTGGAAAACCCTTCCGACTTTACATGAAATGGTTAATTATCCTGAGTCTGGTCAACACTAAGTGTTGCAGCCTTGAGTTAGGGTCTAAGTTAAGACAGGTGAAAAAATGTCTTAGTATATAACATTTAAGTATTGTTATCTGCCTTCTGGAGACGGAATATTGTTCAGTTTTACCAAAAAGCATTACCATCTCTGCTTAGAGCTTGCCTCTGGTAACTTGAGGGGGCTACAGTACCTTCTCCGTTGATACAGCTCTACAAGGAAAGTGCTAAAAAAATAAATTAATCTTGAGACAACCAATCTGATAGATGACTTAATTAGTTTTCAGGGTTTTTTGTGGGGTTTTTTTTGCAAATGCCAAAACAGTGTTTGTTACTTGAGCATCACTTCAATAAATAGAAGCACTCTGATTTTAAGTAGCATTATGAAAACTTATAGATTGCTATGCTTTTATTTTTCTTCCACTTCATCTTACTCCCAAAAGTAATTTGCAACAAAGCAAAAAAAAATAATCTTAGGTTATGTGATAAGTAACATGTAAGTCAGTTCTGACGGGATTTTAAGAGGACAAAAAAAGTTGGGGAGGTTACTGGAATATTTGAATTAGTGGTTTTGAGGAAATCCTGTTTATTTTTTCACTACATTACTGAACATTGTAGAATGGGTATTGACAGTAATAATATCATCAGGTCTGGACCCTGTGCACTGCAGATGAACAGAGTTATTTGCCCTAATTTTCACAGACATTATCCAATGATATAGAAGGGCATTACTTTGTAATTAGGTCATTTACATTTTATACCACTCATTTAAATATATGTTGTGTTTAGCAACTTGTACACTTTGTAGCTGCATTTTATCAGTTTAAAAAGGCTTCTTGTGATCATAGAATGTGAGTTGGGGAAGAGGAGGACAGCAGTTGGTGGGTCAAGCTGCATCTAAAATCATGGAAAAAATATTTTGTAAATCTCTTAATCTGTTGTATCTCTAAAATAGGTGGATGAAGTTTCCATGATAGTAGCAAATCATTGAGGACTCAGATCACAGTGGAAATGGATACTAATTAGACAGCTATTGACAAGATAAGAATATTTTTCAGCAATTGTTTTAGTGTATTTGCTGTTTACAACTTTTTGCTGCAAAAAGTAGAGAAGAGTCTATATGAGAGAGACTCTGATTTATAATCGGATGTGTGATGGAAAACATGAAAGTTGAGGAAAGTTTGGGTAAATGTGCCTTAAGTGAGAGTTTGTGGTTCCTAGTAACAAAAGGAGAGAAGAATGTTGAAGTAAAAACAATGGATTTTGTGAAAGAAGGCTGCAGTAAATGCAGAATTGGGAGATAAGATCTCTTCAGTCAAGCCTCAAGGGGAAAAGGAATTAAGGAGAAGTGATGCTTTGTCAGAGATAATACTAAAGCACAAACAATGCTAATGCAGAGATTTAGATTTTAATTAAACTGGTAAATTCTTCATTGACCTCTGAGGCTTTCTCAGTTTGCCAAGGAACAGAATAAAAGATTTGTATGAGAAAGGGACAAAGCTGGGTAAGGAACAAGCAGCAGAGACATCAAGATTACCTGCACTTCATTTTCAAGCAAGGGTAGGCACATGCACACACATACATATGTTGCACAGTAATGGAAGAGCCAAAGAAAATGTTTATAATTTATAAGCCTTTCCTTCAATGGCAAGAAAATTATACTGGGGTTCTAAAGCTTTTAATTTTTTTTTTTTTTTGCAAGTTTGGGCCAAAAAGAGTCAGGTGCATTCTGTCATCTGGTTTTATGCAAATTAGTTGTTTCTGGAAATTAAATAATACTACAAAACATTAAAAGAAGTCATCAGCTCACACCAACTTAAGGAATACCATAGGTAGGTTTTAATTTTTTAGTGTTAAATACATATATTTGGAGGTTACTTAAAAATATTTAGATGTTCCCTGACTTCCAAGAAGAAAGAAAACTGGTGTTGTAAACAAATGAATGCACCACCACAACTGGGTTTCTGAGATGTTTTCTTTGGGAGTTAATTCTTTTGACAATCTGACTCGGAGTGTTTCAGCCCAATAAATACCTGTTTTGGCTAGAAATACCAGAAGTTGGTTTTTAAATAATGTGCTTTGTTCTTCAGACTTGTCTGCAATAAAACCAGAAACCAGCAAGTGTTTATACTTAATTTAGTGTGATAATGTGTGCATTATGCCATTTAGAGAATCAAGACTTGGTACAGAATATACCATATGTAGGTAACAAGTAACAAGAGTATAATGCTTTATTTTAAGCAAACATAACTGTCTGCTCTTGCAGGAAGAATTATTACTAGCAAAAAGTCAACTACATGTTTAGAATGATTTTTTTACCAGCTGTGCGGGCATAGATAGTTGGTTATACTAGAAACTTCTTCAGGCAGCTGTCAAATCATTTTGGCTATCAAACAAATGTGATTTCACCTGTGTTGTAAAATAGAAATTACACTACAACTGGGGCCACTGAATGCAAGAACCAGTAATGATACCTACACTTCTAGATTCTGTTCTCTTCCATGCAGCTCTTGGTCAGGATGGTGGTTTGTTCTGTTGTAGACACTGGAGTGGGACATAAAGTGCCAATTAGTGAATGCAGTAGTACTTTTGAGTACTGAATGGGGAGTTCACTGTGGTAGGTCCATGTGAGAATGCCATAGTATAGAATAAAATGAGTGAAAGGTCACTGCCTACTTTTCCCCCTGCTAACCATTATTTGAAGCATATTTCATATGCTCTTCTCATCCCTTGTCTCTGAAATAAATTTTCATTTTTTGTTGTTTTAGTTCATGTCATGACTGTTATGTCAGTTGCTTTAGCTGGTTCCCATCATTTGAATCAAAGGATCAACGTACTTGCATCCTCTGGGACAAGTATAAATAAAAAGAATTGAAATATTCTTAGAAAATACTCTTGTTATACTGGGAATAATTTGGTAACTCTGCTTTTCCAAGAGATGACACTAAGTGAGAAAAAGCCGGTGCCAACTCTGCCTTCGGAGTAACTCTGCAATATTGCTAGTGATTTATGTAAATTATTCTTAGCAATACAAGATTACTTCAGGAATAATGCATGTATTATATTACACACAGCCCAGCTCTTTCAGGAGATCACAGTATTAAGAATACAACTTACCAGTATGGTTTAGGAAGCTCAACATTTTGAGCTTGATCTGTGTAAAATTCATATGCCTTACAGCTGGGTGAGATGGATGTGCCTTAGCTGGGTTGACAACAAGCTGGGATCACTGTGGGATTAAAAAAAGCCCTTCTTACAACTAGTAAAGAAAAGTGGCACTTTCATTAAGTTTTACTTAATTCTGGTTTTGTCTTGGAATTCATTTTAACTCAAAGTTTCTGTTTTACATGATACAAATCTCAGCTTTCTCCACACTGATATTTCCTACTTTTCGTTCTGTTAAATGTTGAACTCGGTAACACCAATTAAATCTACCGTAAATTAAGTATGAGTAAATGTTTAATCTTCCTGTGAACTTTGAATGGCATACTAGTGGTTTCTCTTTTTCTTTGAATTAGATGGAGAGCAGAAGACTCAAGTGATGATTCATGGAATTGAGCCAATGCTGGAAACACCCATTCAGTGGCTAAGCGAACATATGAGCTATCCAGATAATTTTCTTCACATTAGTATCATTCCCCGACCTACTGATTGAAACTCAGCTGTATTCCTATGAGGATCATTCTCAAGCTGGAATTCTAAGGGCATGTCAACTTCTTGCTTCTGTCAGTCTTGACAGAGGCAGCCTGACCAGAAAAAAGAAACCAACAAAAAGCCGAAACAAAACAAGAAGTCCTCACTGCTGTAAGCCAAACAGGAAGAGAGATCCTATCATCAGATAAGGGCAATTGGGCTGATCTTATTTTGCATCACTGCTGCGTTTGTTCACTGCTGTAATTAAATCAGTTGCGATATGAAAGAATTTACAGGACTTCTGCAAGTCTGCTGTTTTCTTGTAAAATATAATGAAGCTGAAACTGTCAGCCGAAGAGCAAATGGAAATACGCCACTTGATTGTATTTCTGATTAACAAATAAACAGGGCTGTTTCCTAAAGAGGTAGTGTTTCAGCTTTGAGGGTGGAAACATTGGTTTAATTTTCTAGAAAGTTAGACACTGAGAGATTTGGTTACCAATAGCTTTTTGTAAAAGATCAAATTACTGTAAATCCATCTTTCCTTAATGAGAAGTTCATGTTTACAGTATATGTATTGGTATGCAAATGATCTTTTAACTTTGATAACAAGCAGTGAGAGATTTTAAAGTAAGCCCGTGAGCATGTTTTGTCAGTTAAAAACATGCACAACTTAATAATTACAAATACTCTTGATTTGTATGCTGTCACTGAATACTCCAGTGTGTTTATTATTCAAACCAGTTTTCATAGACTAGCAACGATGTAGGATAATTTGTCTCAGGATTCGTCATGGCATTTCTTTGTGCTCATCTAGTTTTTTTTCTTTAAGAATATATTTTCCTAATTTACTTTAACAAGGTTTTTTTTAAAAAAAAAAGCTACGTGGATGTTGCAAACAGGATTGTATCCTGCTGTTTATTCCCATAGACTAGGAAACAGTTAAATCGTAGAATGATGAACAGATTGCTTTTTAATGATTTTGAATTTTGGAAAGCTGAAGCTTTCCAAGCTAATACTTTCTTACATCTGTGGTCCCTGTGCAATCAGTCCACAATTTGGAAGCTTCTAATCTCATTGCACAGATTTTTTTCTTAGTGTAGCAGATGTATTTTTAGGTTATTGGATCATTTTGGTTTCTAAATGTTTGTTACCATTGCAAGATGCTACTCAACTCTACCAATTTTTTTTTTCTGTTGCACTAAATTCATCAAACTCTGTGCTCTATTGCTTTGTCTGCAGTTTGTGGCTGTTTGTGACACAAAACTATGTTTATAGTAGACATATTATCCAATCTGTCAAATATTATCCAATATAAAGAAAGCATGATATTTTTCTTTCAAAAATAGTGGCTGTCAAAGCTCCTACTCACAGTCTTGGCTTGTAAATGTCCCAGTAATTCCCAGTGCTGTTCCCATTCGTTCCCATGCTCCCTTTATGGCAGGATACTTACCTGTGTCTGAAAAAGAAGAAAATGAAAATCAGCCAAATGAACAAAAACCTCTTTCTGAAGCAAGAGGGGAAGGATCTCCATGGGTGAGGATAGGGTTGAGGCTACGAAGAGCCCTGAGGGCAGAAAAAATCTGTAGACAGATTAGATACTGTTTTAAATGTTAATGAGGAAAATAGCATTAAGGAAATGGAAGGGTAAAGGTACTAATGAAACAAATCTATGCTGTATTCTGCAGGACATGAAGAATTTTTAAAACAAAACAAACCATGCTGGTCTGTGTTTATGCAGAACAGAAATATAATATTCTTATGGTGGGATGATTTGGTTAAGTTATTCTAATTTCCAGTTCTGTTTGGAATTTTTGTTACAGTGTTGGATTGGCATTTATAAACTTCCTTAGGCACACATATCTAAATATTTTGGAGATTTTCAAAGTCCTGCCAATGGATAAAGCAAATATTTTGTAGAGTCTTCATATTTAAAAAAAAAATCTTTTGTAGGGATAATTTTTCCATTAATCAGGATAAGAGGCAATACCTTTCAAAAACTGTAGAGATTGTGTTTCCTTTGTTTTAAGGTAATCTGGAGTGAGTCACTGGCTATTTTAATATATCCTACACCAGCATTTGAAGTATACAGCTCTTCTTATGGCCCATATTTGCCAGTAAATCCAACTTTAAGGCCTAGCATGGAACAAAGAAATAGCTTGGCTTTAAAACGTACTCTTTCCTCTAACTATTTAAACTTTATTAAAAAATAAAACAAAGTTTGAGTCTGTCTTTATTTCCAGCTAAATAACGATCTTTGTCATTGTATGATGAGTATTTACTTAATAAGTAGGAACTTCTTAGAAGAGGTTCTTAGAATATCATCACATACAGATTGGGTTCTGAATTAAAGCAGGTAGGTATCTATTCTGTGTTAAAATGTCTGGTTTTGAGATAGGCATGGTGACATTTTGAAATGTCACAGTAAACCTGAGTAATATCTCTTGAGAGAGAGGTAAAAAGACATTCAGAACTAGATTTCAGATTTCTGTACTTTCACATTACACTGTCAAATTAGCTTGTGGAAGATGAGTTTAAAATGGGAGAGATGTTTTCTCTCCTTCCCTTGCCTTTCACGTCTCTACAATTCAAGTAAGTAAGGTTTTTTTAACTGTGAAATGAAACACCAATTTCTCTGAACTATAGATTGAAGAACAGAAAGCAATACAAACCAGCTATGTAAACAGCTACATGAGGAGTTTGGTGTATGTCAGGTTTTTATATGTACAAAATAACTAGCATTATATGGAGTTTATATGTATAAAAACCACTTAGGATAGAAAGACAGGCAGTCAACACCCAGGTTAGGGTTGGAGGATCTTGACTGCCAAAATGTGTCCAATATTAAAATAGCACTTTCCATGGAAGATGTTCAAAGCCTTAATCCTTGCATCATTTCACTAATCTAGATCAATAATAGAATGAATGTATTGTGGAAACAAATCCAGCTACTAATACTCATTGTACCCTGAGCTCTCACCATAACTGAGTAGAACATGTTGGAAAGGGTAAAGCCAATTTGCAATGTAGTTTGCTTGCATCTGTTGGAATTGGAAGGATTGCTTGCTAGACTTTTGTCAAGTGTGTTTTGCAAGTTCACAAACACTTCTTAGAAACCTCTAGAAGTTTGGTTCTTTTTCAAAGAAAATCAGGCTGTAGTGGGGGAAAAAGTAATCAATAGCACTGTTCACTAAACCTGTCCCTTTGGTGGCTGCCTTACAGTGAAAGACACGTGGAGAGAGTGCACGAGTGAGAGCTGGTGATGCCTTATTTTGCACAGATATAATTTCTCCTTGTGTATATTGTTACTAAGTGTCCCAGCTGTCATAACAAGCCAGACGTGTTATTCTTTCAGCTAGACAGAGGCACTCAAGTATTTTTATTACTACAAAATTAAAGCTCAGAATGGAAACTATCTGGCTGAAACTTGCACCTTACATGCTTTTCTGACTATAATTAAAATAATCTGCACTTCAGAGGTTTGATTTCCATCAGTCATATGGACACACACCCTCACTGGATTTTTTCTGCAGTTCAAAATTGGCAAAATAGGCTGGTTTTCCTTTATTTTAAAGACTATCTGAGCCTGTACAAGGCAAACAGGAGGAGGGGATCAGGCCATGGGGGTGAGCCTAGAGCCCTGAAATCGTGGCATGACACAGGAAGTCATACGGTTTCTTCACCATTTCCACAGCGACCATTTTATCATGTGAATCCTGGCCCCTGCAGATTCTCCTTTAATTTGCAGCTTCTCTTTGTTTAGCTGATGCTTGACCTCAGCTGAGTGGTGATGAGGCTGTGCCTGCCCCTGGCTCCACAGCTCTGTCTGTCCCTTGCAGGATTTCCAGTGTTGGTGCCTTGTGTGTGACTGAGCTGCCCATCCCCAGGACCCTCCCTGACACTTCCACACAGCTCCTCCCTCACCAGCAGAGCATGAGTTCATTCTGCTGGCTTTTACCACCAACTGGGTGGCCCTGGAGGAAAGCAGTGAGAGAAGGGTGCAGAGGAGGAGAGAGGGAAACTAGAGGAATTGAAAAACAGTGAAGGTGGGGCTTGAGAGAAAATACTTTGTGGGGACTGAAATGACAGAGCCGGATTCTTGATCTCACCCAGGTTTCTCATTCACTCATCACCTTGCAGCTCCCACCGCGTGCTTTCCTTTCCATCCTTTCCATGAATACACTGCAATGGCTTTCACCTGCAGGACAGTGTCTGGCACCTCTGGTGTGCTGGGAGTGAGCAGTCACTGAGTGTGTATTTAGCTTTGATGGTTTGGCACATTGCTGAAGGAGGCCTTTATTTACAGGAATTGTTTCAGAGCTTTCTTCTCTGCAGCCGATCCTTGGCCTGAGCTTCCTTCATGTGAGGAGTCAGAATGGGGAGGTCCTGCTGCAGAAAACATCCTGCACAGGCACCACAGGTCACTGTTCCAATACACTGTATGTTGGGAAACTGAGCCGTGGATGGGTCACTAGAGGACCTTTCTTTCATGAAAAGTACTGTCTCATGTCCCTGAAGTTTTATTTTATGCTATTCTGAATGTTTCATAAAGAACAGCAGAATACATTTTCAGTGTGGCTAATAAATACCAAACCCAGTTTTGGTCACAAGCATTTTCTGTTTCATTTTCCAGTCAGAATAAAATTCCATTATATGGGGTTTAATTGTAGAACAGGACATCAATATTTGTAATGAGTCTGTATAGGCAGTAGAAAGAGGATGTGTCCATTGTAATGATCAGCATTTCTGCAGTGTACATCTCAACACCTTTTAATATGAAGATACATGAGGACTTCTGCTGAGGCATGGTTTTGCTGAGCCACCCAGGCAGTTTCTCTGCCAGTTTGGGAGGTCTGCTCCCCTATGGAAACTCTCCAGTTTTGGTTTATTGTATATAAATTTATACTTGATGGCTGTTGAGAAAATGACTGATAGAATAGCCATAATGGCAATGGAAAAAAAAAAAAAAGGAAAAAAAAAAAAAGAAGCAAAGCTTAATTTATTGCTCAAATGGAATGTCTTTCCGTAAGAAATCATTATGTCAGTTTTCAGCAAAATTAGTGAATTAGTGATGTCCTACTTCTGGTTGTGTATTCAGTTATTTCAATGGTAAGAGGGAGCAATCCTAATGGGTCTGCTTACAATTGCCCTGAAATATATATAGTGTGTTTTTAATTAATATGCATTGGCATATTAATAGGAATTACTTGTATTTTATTCTTTCTCTTACTGAAGCTTGAATGCATTCAAGGGTTCTGCTGCAATTGGCTTCCTCAGGGAAGTGCAGCAGG